TCGCCGCAGATGGAGCGCCTGGCGCGACGCGTGCGTGCTGAGCTGTTCTACTTTGAGCTAGCCGCCACGCCGCGTCTGGTGAAGGGTGCATACCACTGCACAGGGTATATCCTCTGCCGCCATCGCGCAGGCACCGAGCAGTTCGACGTGTTCATGCAGCAGCTGACAGGGCGCTCAGCCTTCCACTGCTTGGAGGGGACCACCCCGGATACGTCTGTGTCAGCCGCCCACAGGGACGGCGGGGGTAGTTTTCGCCTAGCTGTCGAGCTACGCGTGTTGAAGCGGACAACGCCATGTCGCATCACGCTCCAGGAGGGGCCATCGTCCTGTCCTTGCGACATCAGCGGCTCCCCATTCACACTCGATTGGCTCATGGAGCAACAGAAGCTCGGTGTGAGTTTTGGTCGGGCTGACCATCGGTAGCTGTCAGGGTATGCTATTCATTCAGTAGAGCTTGCGGCTATGAATTGCATGAATTCACCATCTGTCCGAGGGGTGAATATTTCGTGTCTAAGCTGAAGCTATTCGTTTCGCTTTGCCTCCTGGACATCTAATCTTGGCTGAATCATTGTCGAAGACTACCCTGCAGTTCATAACGGCAGAGCGCCCAGACTCCCTGCTGTTCATTGTCTGCGACCTACTCATATCGGTGAAGACTTCCACGGTGCGATCTTGATGGCGAGAGCGAGATGCCCGTAAGCCGGTTTGGACTTCCCACCACAAGGTCATCAGCAGGACGGAGCCACGAGACAGACGGCACGATGTAAACTTTACATATTGCCCCAGGCCTTATTTACGACTGCGCGGGCGCACCAGTTCCATAAGTACAGTCGCTTCCCCATCATCACCCCACAACAGCACCACACTGATGACAGCGTCTCCTGCTGGCCATTAGATCATCCCGAGGACTGAATATAGAAGAGGAACCAGGCAACAGAAAACGAACACGGCGCCTCGCTGCCTCTCTTGGGGGGATGATCGGTCGGCTGTTGATTTCCTGATTTTGCCTGTCGATAGCTGCCTGCCGTGCTAGCTCTGTTAAGCGATATCTAGTATTGGTGTAGAGTGTGCTATCCGGGTAGTTCGCGTGGGGTTCTACGCGAAATCGAGACACGCGAATTCGATTGGCCCGTGCATGTGACTGGGCAGTGTCATAGGTAGGACGCGGATAATCGTCTAATGGGCGAGGCATTATTTTCCATTCAATATTCCTGTAATTAGACAATGTTGAACATGTCGTATCGGTAGAGGGATATATGCCATTAAACAAGCTCAGCCACTCTCCCGTAATGGACGCTCCGAATTCCGAGGCGCTGTCCTTGATAGAGTGTCAAGAACTTGACTTCAAGATGCGTACACATTGTCGCTATGCAATTGCCCCGGTCATCCAATGTGGGCTCAGCAGGCTTTGGCAAACTCTGCTCGGCGCTTTTAATGGCTGCATCTCGCTGCATCTCAGGGCAGGTGCCATTTCCGGCCACGGGATGACACGAACATACCGGGCGTAGTGTCTTGTAGCGAGACGAGAGGTACTGTATCACGTTCGAACTCAAAAGGAAGCGACTATATCTGTTGCGGAGCTTGCGTCAGGATCAAATGTTGATTTCTGGCCGTCGCCTAGATGGCGTGACAGCTTCAGGTGCGCTAGCTTTCCTCTGTGTAGCGGGGCGTATGCGGCTTCACAAGTGGGAGACTGGGTTAGTAAGCATAGTCTGCTTCCGGGGGCCCCATAGGCGGGCACCCAGGTGCCCAAATAAGTGTCGCACCTAGGTGCCCAAATAAGATTCCTTATGTAAGCAAAGGCCCACAAAAGCCGCCTTTACACCAATCAGATACTATCATCAACAACACTTGCTATACAATTGAACACAATCGACTCCTTCATTGGGAGCATCCCAGCGAGCCTCATTTTCAACGCACGATTAAGCCACCAATTATTGCCCGAGTGCCCCTTCACAATCATGAGCGATTCTCTGCCTCTTGAAGTATCTATTGATAATACTTTGCCCCCCGAGAACGACTATCCGTCCCGCGAAGCCCTTGTCCAGGCCGCTAACGCATGGGCAGCCGCCAGAGGCTACGCATTCATAAGCACGAAGTCGAAAACAACATCGAGCTGTCGGCGGGTTGTATATGTTGGCTGTGATCGGCGAGGAGCAAGGCCAGATATATCTATTCCGCGCGTACGGAATACGACCTCCAAGCGGATAGGATACGAGTTCTCGATCCTCGCAAAAGAGTCGCTTGATAAGGCGGTCTGGCGCCTCACGCATCGCGACAATGCCAAGTTCGGGTATCACAACCACGGCCCCAGCATCGATATCACGGCCCATCCAGTCCATCGCCAATTATCCAATGCCGATAGATCTACGATCAATGATCTCGCGAGCGCTGGAGTGCAGCCGAGGGATATTCGGACCTACCTACGCACGCAGTCCAATACACCAGCGACCCAGCAAGACGTCTATAATTGTATTGCGCGAGGCAAGAGAGAACTTCAAGAGGGGGAGAGTACTATACACGCGCTGGCTAATGAACTCGAGAATGAGGGCTTCTGGAATCGTATCCGGTTCGATAATACTGGCCGAGTCACAGCTGTGTTATCTGCGCATCCAGAGTCGATGGGGTACCTGAGTATATACCCAGATACCCTTATTCTTGATTGTACATATAAGACTAATAAATATCGGATGCCCTTGCTCGATATGGTCGGCGTTGATGCTTGCCAACGGTCTTTCTGTATCGCCTTCGCCTTCCTTAGCGGGGAAGAGGAAGAGGACTATATATGGGCGTTAGACCGGCTACGCTCGATATACGAGACCTGCGGCGCAAGGCTGCCGAGTGTTATCCTCACCGATCGCTGCCTTGCCTGTATAAATGCTGTGGCCTCTTGCTTCCCCGACGCGGCATCTCTGTTATGCCTCTGGCATGCTAACAAGGCAGTCCTTTCATATTGCTTGCCGAGCTTTAAAGAAGAGGATGTTGGCGCGCCGGAGGGCCAACTTATATGGAAGGATTTCTATGGGATGTGGCATGAGGTAATCGCCTCTACATCTATCGAAACCTTTGAGCAAAGGCTCCAGGCTCTCAGGGATCGTTATGCTATGACACACACCCGAGAGGTCTGTTATATCATGGAAATCTGGCTCGACCCATATAAAGAGAGGCTTGTGAAGGCCTGGGTCGATAAACACACACATTTCGATAATGTGGTCACATCCCGCGGCGAGGGCATTCACCAGCTAATTAAGATCCATCTTAATACGAGCCAGCTAGATCTTTTTGACGCCTGGAAGTCGATTAAGCGCGCAATTATCAATCAGCTGGCTTCGCTTCGGGAGAATCAGGCCAGGCAACGACTCCGCATACCTATTGAACTCAATGGGAGGCTATATGATACCGTGCACGGCTGGATATCATATGAGGCGTTGCGGAAGGTCGAGGACCAAAGGAAGCTGCTTATACCAGGCACGGAGCTTCCTGCCTGCACAGGACGATTTACATCGTCACTCGGACTCCCTTGCGCTCATACACTCAAGCCCCTTATACAAGAACAGCGCCCCCTCTTATTAGAAAATTTCCATGTGCACTGGCACCTTCAGCGAGAAAAGAGGCTACAGTTCCTCATCGAGCCACGACAACAGTTTGATCAGGCCACGGCGCGATCAACACTACCAAAGACAAGCACTCGCCGCGAGCCAAGCGCATTTGAAGCCGTTGAGGAAGCCTCTAGGGCACCGACACGAGCCAGGGCAGCGCCCATGTGCTCGGCGTGTGGCAAGGTTGGCCACACGAGGGTATCACGGCTATGTCGCTTACGCTATGCGCATATTATACCATCGTCAACGCCGGGGGCAGCGTCAGCATCAACCCTATCACAACCTCATCACGACCTCACCAAACCGCCGCCGCCGCCGCCAGCACCATTGCCGACCTCTTCAACGGAGTTCGTGCCGGAGCCAGCATCAGGACTTGAACCAGCGCCAGAACCACAGCCAGAGCTCACGCCGGAACCACAGCCAGAGCCCGCGCCAGAGCCCGCGCCAAAGCCACAATTCCGCTATGACCATCCATGCGCTATATACGAACGATATGTTGCTGATCGAGAGGCCTGGTACAAAGCGCTGCCGCAAGGCAGCGTGAAGATCAACCAGCAATATCGGAAGGCGATGGGCCTGCCATTGCGCTTCAGCAAGAAGGCATATGAATATTGTCTTGATTATAAGCGGATGGGCAAGCAATGCACCGTGAGAAGGCCACGCAGGGACTGGACCAAGGAGGAACAAATGGCCTATCTAGACTGGGAAGAGAAAGAGGACAGGCGAGTTGAGGCTCAGGTTACTACTAGTATGGCCGAGGAAGCAGCCAGCGGCAGATCTATTCATAGACGAGGGATGCAGGATTTTTGGGATATAGCGGAGAGGGATACAGAGGAACAACAAGCGTTATACGAGGCATCACGCTTAAATTGAGCAGAAGGCACGCTCGGCAATAGCTTCGCCAACATCATCAGCAACAGCGTCATCTTCAACAACAGCGTCATCTTCAACAACAGCGTCATCTTCAACAACAGCGTCATCTTCAACAACAGCGTCATCTTCAACAACA